GCATGCAAGGCAAGCGCTCTACCACTGAGCCACCTTCCCAGCCCTGTAATACTATTTCTAAGGAAAGCAGAAATACTATGTTTCAGGAAATAATTAACAAGTAAACCAGTTTTTCCACATTGTGATTCACATCTAATATTAAGCCTAAGAGCTCTTTAGAATTCATTGGTAATATTTATTTTGTTTTTGCCAGTCCTGGGGCTTGAATTCAGGGCCTGGGCACTGTCCCTGAGCTTCATTTGCTAAAGGCTAGCACTCTACCACTTGAACCACAACGCACTTCCAGCTTTTTCTGTTTATGTGGTACTGAGGAATCGAACCCAGGGTTTCATGCATGCTAGGCAAGCATTCTACCACGAGGCTACATTCCCAGACCCTTTATTTTGCTTTTAAGACATTATCTTACTGTGTACCCCAGACTAGCCTTCGATTCATGGTCCTTCTGCTTCTACCTCCCAAATGCTGAGATTATAGATGTGTGATACCACACCTGCCTGGATTCCTATTATAAATAAATTTATTTAGTAAAGCTTTTGTACTACTAAGAGCCATTTTTAAGTTGATAAAATGGCAATCTAGAGGCTAAACAAAAGCTAGCAGTTATTAGAGACATTTTTCTTTATTTTTGCACTAAGCCTTTGAAATCTGTGCGGTTTTTTTTACATTGGTTATGTGTCTCAGTTTGGATTGGCCATCCTATCCAGTGGCGTTTGTATTAGTGAGGCTCTAGACCTGAGCAGGGTACCTTTGTTGATAGAGAACTTCACATTGGTTCAGCAGAGAATAGTTAGATGTATCACTACCACTTCTCTCCTTTTTCATCCACCACTGTTCCTCTTCTAAGTAGAGATTTTATGTAACAGTTCCATTGTTAATTGAAGCTTTTCCAGTGTATAGTTTAATGTGAAAACTAACATGTATTTTGATTTCAGGTTGTTTTTTGAGCCAGTAACAACCCCTTGTGGACATTCATTCTGTAAGAATTGTCTTGAGCGATGTTTAGATCATGCACCATATTGTCCACTTTGTAAAGAAAGCTTAAAAGAGGTAAATATTTGTATTAAGTATCTGCTTATTTGGTTCAAGTTCATTCAAGTGGTTTCTGTCCAGCTATAGATTTAATGATTATCATGTTTAAAATGAGTTACATACACTCAGTACTACTGGAGAAAAGTGGTAGATTCTAGATACTAAACACCTACTTTGCAGGGAAGGAGGGAGGGAGGGAGAGAGAAAGAGAGAAAGAGTCAGTTACTTGTTCAGGGATAGGTTCAAGTTTAATGATGACCCTGTTTGGACAACCATACTGTACTGCCATTGGCCCTCAATACTAAACAAGATGTAAGTCCTGTTCCAACTTCCTTAACATCTCAAAAAACTGTCTTGTCAAACCCCCTGCTCTAATAGAAATGCTTTATTTTGTATGGAACCAACTAGCCACATGTGACTTTAAGCACATAATTTGCGGCTTAGTGTGACTGAGGAAATGTGATTTAATTTTGTTAACTTTAATTTAAGAGCCACCATAAATACATTTACTACTCTGTTCAGTGTAGCTCTAGAAAGTGGTAGGCTAGAAAGAAGAAAGGGGTCACAGCTTCCCATATTCCTTATCTTTTTTTGGGGGGGGGTCCGGTTGTGGGGCCTGAACTCTGGGCCTGGGCGCTGTCCCTCACTCTTCAGCTCAAGGCTAGCGCTCTACCACTTGAGCACAGAGCCACTTCTGGCTTTTTTCTTTTTGCTTATGTGGTGCTGAGGTATCGAACCCAGGGCCTCATGCATGCAAGGCAAGCGCTTTACCATTGAGCCACCTTCCCAGCCCCATATTACTTATCTTGAAGTCAGTGATCAGTACTAATAGGGAATCTGAGGACAGTACCCCTTCAGTCATACCTGGAGATGATCCACATGTAGCTCCAGCCTTGTGATACTGAGTGGCAGCTTCAACGTAGTTTTGTCTGTGGCAATTGACAGCATTGTTTAAAGAAAGAAGTGCTTGGCCGGGTGCCGATTGTTCACTCCTATACTCTTAGCTACTCAGGAGGCTGAGAGCTGAGGATCAAGGTTTAAGGCCAGCCCGGGCAGGAAAGTCTATGAGATTCTTACCTCCAGTAAACCACCAGAAAACCGGAAGTGGTGCTGTGGCTGAGCTGAGGGACAGCGCCCAGGCCCATGACCAACAAAAAACAAAACAAAACAAAAAAAGGGCTTTTTGAATGTAAATAAAAAAGCAAAAGTAATAACATTTTGAATATTCCGTTATTTTCTATAGAGAAAACACAGCTCTATAACTAACATAATAACATTTAATATTGTTACATTTGATATATGGTATGCCAACCTGATAGGTAAAACAAAATCATTTTCAAAATGTTTTCAATGTCAGGAAACCTAACATAACACTACTCTTAAGGAGATTGTCAATGACATTTTTCGCCAAGTATTATAAACATTATTTTTCCACCTTTTTTAGATAACTCTATAGTGTACTTATGATTTTGTTCCAGATTAACTATTTACTGCATTCTTTCATTTAGAGATACTTTGTCTTAAAAAACAGTTGAAGAAAAGCATACTAAGTATTATTTGAAAATAGAACATAGAATATATTACATTTAATTAGTGGGTTTAAGAATGCTTATCCCATTTTTAACATGGAAGAGATCCTATATAATACCATTTGTAAAATCAGAATCAACTATATGCAATATATGTTGCACATATAAGTATTGTATGTATATGTATTAATATATAATATATGAATACATATTAGTTTATATTTTATCTTGTATATATTATATATCATACAACTTTTAAAATATAATGTTGGATGTACTCAACAATTTTGCATTGTTTCTACTTTTTTATTTAAATGTACTTTAAAGATGATTTTTTAGAACAGAATAATAATAATTCTCTGTTACTGAGTGTATAAGTTTTCTTTATTGTCGATTGTGGGGTTTTAACTCTGGGCCTCTGCACTGTCTCTTAAGCTCTTCAGCTCAAGGCTAGTGCTCTACCACTTTTTTTTTTCTTTTTGTCGGTCCTGGGGCTTGAACTCTGGGCCTGGGCGCTGTCCCTGCGCTGTTCAGCACAAGGCTAGCGCTCTACCACCTGAGCCACAATGCCACTTCCGGATTTTGGTGGTTTATTGGAGACAAGAGTCATGGACTTACTTGCCTGGGCTGGCTTTGAACTGTGATCCTCAGATCTCAGCCTCCTGATTAGCTAGGATTATAGGCTCGAGCCACCTGCACCCAGCTTAGTGCTCTACCACTTTCACAGCACTACTTCCAGTTTTCTGGTAGTTAATTGTAGATAAGATGGACTTTTCTGCCTGGGCTGGCTTTGGACCATGATCCTCAGAGCCCAGCCTCCTGAGTAGTTAGGATTACGGGTGTAAGCCACCAATGCCCGGATCTTCTTCTTCCTTTTTTTTTTTTTATAAAAAATATTTAAAACTTTTGTGCACAATACTTTAGTGTTTGTAACCATTCCCTAATTTTTTTTAACTATTTCCTTAATTAACTTTCTGGAAGATAAATTACTGGATCAAAGGTTGTATATATCTGAGGCTCTTACAGTAATTTCCCAGGTTGCTTTGCCTCCTACAGATGTTACGCAGATTTAGACTCCTATCAGTAATGTAAAAATTTAGGTCATGCTTCGTCGATTTTAATTACATGGGTATTACATTTTATTTTAAAAAGGTAAGAGGACTGCTTTTTATAATGTCTGTAAGTTGGCTAATCTTACGATAAACTGTTGTATACATATTATCTGCTCAAGGTTATATTTTATAGACCAGTGGTTCTTAAAATATGTTCTCCTGGCCATCTGAGCATCAGTGTTGCCTAAGAACTTGTCAGATCTCTCTCCAGATCCACTAAATGAGAAGCTCAGGGGGGTGGAGTTCAGTAATTCATATTTTAGCAAACCTTGAATCATTCAGGTTTGAAAAACACTTGGATAACCACTTTTCCTAACTTTCGCATTCCCTAAACCCTTCATTGTATATTGACAAAACACTTATTTTTTTGTTGGCTTCTACAGATTAAAGGATGGCTTCTCTGTGTTCTATGATTTTTATTTTCCCAAGACTTTCCTTATTATTGTATTTAACAAATGTGTATTAGGCATCTGGGTACATACTCTGACCTAGTCATGACTATAAGAAGATTTTAGTTTAATTACATATAATATATCCATATAGTACTACACAAGGGATAGTGTCTTTTCTGTGATAAAGTGGTAAACTATGGAGTAACTAAAAAAAAAGGGCTCTATGAAAAAAGTAAAATTGGAGCCAGACCTTGGAGGATAGATCTGTGTTGCCTAGGCAAGAGTATCAGCTGAAATAGAGAATGACACAAAAATGCACATGTATAGCAATTTGTCAGAGTACTTAGGGGGAGTAGCACTAACTGGTCATCTTACGTAGAGTCCTGATGGATCATACAAGAGAAGCAATAGCAGTATTTTCATAAAGCCTAAGTGATAGTAGCATTGAAAGGAAAACCTAAAAGGAAAATTACCTTTAAAAACAAAACAAAACAAAAAACTGAGTATGGTGACATATAGCTTCTAAGGCTCAGCCAGCTGAGCCAGGAGGATCCCAAGTTCCAAACAAACAAAAATTTATAGACTTTGCCTTTGAAAAATAGGAGCCAAACAACACATTGCCTTGCTTTTCTTAAATAAAGCAAATGCATTATTTTCTTCATCCTTATTCTTTTGTCTCTCTATTACAATGATAACTTTAATCCCTTGAGCTATCAAGTGGAAATTGTCCTTCGTTGTGGGAGATGACAGGTGCAGGACTAACTGTTACCACTGAAGGATTTGTGGTAATAGCAAAAAAGAAGTATTACATATAAGACCCTGCTCAAGTTGTAAACATGTGTCTTTACTGTTCTGAAACAGAACCTCAGACAGGTTTACGTCTATATCATCATCTATTGTAATAACCCCCTTCATTAATTAAATTTATTTAGAGTCGACTGTTCAAGTATGTCATAAAGGCTTAAGTATATCAGTTAAACTGTTTTACCTGTTTTATACTATAGGAAAACTTCTACTGGAATGTAAAATAATATTGTCTTTTAGTATCTAGCAGATAGGAGGTACTGTGTCACACAACTGTTGGAAGAATTAATAGTGAAGTATCTGCCTGATGAACTGTCTGAGAGAAAAAAAATATATGATGAAGAAACTGCTGAACTCTCACAGTAAGTTTCTTCTCATAAAAAACTAATCAAATTATGAAATATTACCATTGAAAATAGTGAAGAGAAACTTTCTCACTAAGCTGAACCTGTCACCTCAATAATCTAGTGAATTTTAAATACTACTGGTTAGCTTTTCCTGTCCTCAACAGACATGTCCTTAAACATGTTCGTATTACCAAAGTTCAGTAGGTAGTTTCCAGGTGATCTCTGGGGAGTTACTGACTTAGCTCCCTGGGCCAAAACTGTATTTAAGGCAGAGGATGAATGTTCTGCAGTGACCTTAGGCAATAGAATAAGAGTAGAGAGGTGGAACAGAAAGTATGGATGATGACAACAGCTCTTCTGTGTGTCATGGCAGAGCAGAAAGAAGGTTGAAAGCAAACCACCTATTTTATTTTAGCAAGTGATTTTTAGCCAACTGGAGATTTGGAAGGGAGCTGAAGACTGAAATTGTGAAGAATGACCTCAGTTAAGATCCTGCCTGGTAGCAAAACTGAGTTAGTATAACACAAACGGACAGACATGACTGGGATTTAGTAGAAATAACACTTACAGGGACCAATGGCTGATCATGGTGGGTCTGTTTTCCTGACTTCGCTTGCCCTGAACTCTTTCTTTGTGCTTTCCTACTCTTCTTTAAATGTCCTTCTCTCTTTCAACAATCACATGGATCTTGGAATTTCTTTCACAGGTTTACGTTTCTTAACACTTTTACTGAAAATGCTGAAGAATAACAATCTTACTTTTTTCTATTTAGTGACTTTTTGCTCCTATTATTAAAAAAAATTGAACATCTAGTATTTCTCTAAGAAAGAAATTGTAGATTAATCTTCCATGTGTAATCATGAAATGTCTTCAGAAGACTAGTGGCCTTCCATAGAAAAAAGATTTTTACTTTCCTTTAATGGAATTGCTGGTGATTTGTCTTCCCACAGAATTGATCATTCTGTGGCTTTATTATAGAAAATCTTCTGATGTGAGGTCCAGATCCTTTGTGACCCACGCTGAAAAAGCTAAATGTAAGAAAGCTGAAGGTATATTTAAGAATCTGAAATAAAGTAATACAACCAGGTATAGTAATGCTCTAGAAATGGCAAAAGTGAGGAGAAGTGAAGTCCTTCACATAGGGAGCCTAGAATGATGGAGAGAAATGAGAGAACTTTGCTGCTTCTTAATGGGGGCATTTTTAAGCATGTATCTTAAACATGTTTGTATTAATATTTGCTAAGTAATTAATAGTTGTTTGCAGAAAAACTGGAAAACGAGAATGCTTTCATGTATAACCCAAGTAACATTTTGGCACATACCCTTTCTCCAGGTTTGGATGAATACATTTTAAACAAAAATGCCATCCTACTGATAGTATTATTTCATTACCTTCTCTTCCCTTTACTACCCAGTTTTTCTAAATCAGTGTCATGCATGTCTTTCAGAGGAAAGCAAACATATTCCATTGTTGGTCATATTCCTCTTTTTGTTTCAAAGTTTTGGCTACTAAAATTATTGCTACATTGCAATGTATGGTTCTTGGACATTAATTTCTAAAAAGAAGCCAATTGGTTCCAAGTACATGAATATTTCCTACCCCCAACATAAGATTCGTGATATAGAGAGCCAATTTCGTGTACTTTCTTCAGACTGTCCCCACATACCCTTGCCAAAACTGGGCCCTGCCTTTATCATTCTCTTACCATCTCCCCATCTGGCAGTGAGAAGTATCCCATCATTTTAGTTATCTGGAAAAAAATGTTTCTTAATGCCTAAGAATTTTTGTCTATTGCAGGAACTCATGTTTGTCCTTATTGTTATTTAAGAGTAAGTTATCACTATTTATGAGGATGAGTATTAATTTTGTCTTAGTTTTTAAATATAAACTTCCTTGTATAACTAATTGATGCTAATAAAAAGATTAAATGAAAAAATATTAATTACATAATAATTTCTTTTTTGATAATTTTTTATGGTAACTTGGTACCTGAAAATGCAAGCCTTTTAAATGAGGATCACAAGCAAATTTTAGTATTAGTATTGCATCAGTATGAACTTAATGAAGAAGATTCTTGTTCATGAAGAAGAGTCATTTTATGAGAATTGATTTTTCTCTTTACATTAACATCACAACTATGAACTTTTCTTATTTTTGTTGGATGCTTTGATCTATAGCAGTGAAATTTCTTTTCCTTCAGCTTGACCAAGAATGTTCCAATATTTGTTTGTACTATGGCCTACCCCACTGTGCCTTGCCCTCTTCATGTATTTGAGCCAAGATACAGGTTGATGATTCGAAGAAGTATACAGACTGGAACCAAGCAATTTGGGATGTGTGTCAGTGATACACAAAATGGGTATGTTTTTTGTGTACTTAAATAACATTTATATAAGAACTTGCTTTAAATAGGGAAAGTTGCATGCTTGTACTTTGATACTAATCAGACTTGTTTTTCTTTTAGTTTTGCAGATTATGGATGCATGTTACAAATTAGAAATGTTCATTTCCTTCCTGATGGAAGGTCAGTGGTTGATACAGTTGGAGGAAAGCGTTTTAGAGTTTTAAAAAGAGGAATGAAAGATGGATATTGCACTGCAGACATTGAGTATCTGGAAGATGTTAAGGTATTGAAAATGTTCACCTATTCTGGCTGTGGTTTTCCAGGGGCTGGTCCATGGATACGGGCTGGTATCTCCTAGGTTTATGAACCAATTCTTCCTATCAGAGACTCTCATCGTTACCACTTAGGAAACTTCACTCCAGTTACCTTCCACCTTGCTTTTGAATCAGCTTAACTTGAGAGACTAGAACCTATAGCCATTCATTTTTAGAAGGTACCAGTCTAGACTACATTAGGATAGTAGTCACTTAATGCAACTGACTTAGATGAACTTCTAGTTCACCTAATATTGCTCATCTCTGCCTTATTTATTTATAATCAAAGCTGGTTTAATTAGTAGACTGTAATCTGAAGTACAGGTAACACAAAATACTTTAAGAATTGTTCTGTATATTAAGGTTGTTTCTATGCCAAAGTTAATTTTAGTGGATGCTGTGTTAAAATTATAGAGTATCGTAGATCAAGCCTGTCAGTGTGCATATGTGTTGATAATATCTTTGCTGAGCAGGGTTTTGGTGATAATTGAAAAGGGTTGGTTAGTGTGGCCCTTTTGATGTTTCCATCACCTACTTACCAACTAGTTAGTTGAAGTTCTAGAAAGAAGACTTGTGATATTTAAATTTCAAATCAAAGGCAATTTTTTTTGGTGAAAGTCATTATAAAAACATCACTCTTTAATTATCACTTGTTTATTGATATATTTAGGTTCTTTGTTTCACTTAACATTTGTTGAACATTGGTATTAGGTATTCTCACAAACATTAGCTCATTGAATTCACACAGTGCCAAATCAGCAGATGAGGAAAATACAATCTAGAGGTATTAATTTGCCTAAGATTTTGTGTAGTATAATAAAGATGGTTTTGAGCCAACTCTCAAACTTGTAGGTTCTGTGCTATATCCCTATATTAGGTTGCCACTATATTTAGTGGTATGATATTACCTGTCCTGTCTTATAAAGATGACACTGGAATAATTTACTCTGCAATAGGATAAAAGTATGAGTTGAAATTTTTAGTTGATTGGTACAATCTTTGCGTTAGACATTCTTGGTTAGAGGAATAATTGCTAAAGGAAATGTTGCTTTGTAGAACTAAGAACCCTATTCTCATTTTAGGTCAGTTTTCATTGTCATGAATTGGATGTGGTGGCAAAATCCCTTGAGTATGTAGCTAAATGTATATAAATATCCCAGACAATAGAGTAGCAGATTGAAAGCAGTTCTCTTTGTTTTAAAAGCAGTTCTCTTTGTAGTTTTAGGAATATATAGTAATTTTTTTTCTTATAATTGAATCATCTACAGTGATTTTCTTTTCTGGAAAAGCTTCTCGTGTTTTTTATATGAAAGCCTTTTTTATCATTATTGCCGTTTTATATTCGGTGATTGCTAATGGAATTTCAAATTCTGTTTTATTGTTGGAGTAAAGTTTTTAATCTTAAAAAATGTTATTTTAGCCTGGTGCCAGTGGCTCACACCTGTAATCCTAGCTCCTCGGGAGGTTGAGAGCTAAGGATCAAGGTTCAAAGCCAGCCCTGGCAGGAAAGTCCATGAGACTCGTATCTCCTGTGGCTCAAGTGGTAGAGCGCTCGCCTTGAGCTGAAGAGCTCAAGGATAGCACCCAGGCCCAGAGTTGAAGCCCCACTACTAACAACAACAAAAATATTGCTTCTAAAATTTCTGTTTCTCGGCTGGCTCTGTTTCTTCCTGAGACTTAAAATTCTTATCCCCATGTCTTTTTTTTTTTAATTGTGAAAATACCATATAGAGGGGTTACAATTACATGGGCAAGATAATGAGTACATTTCTTATCAAGCATTGTTGCCTCCTCCTTTGTTTCCCCTTCCCATCCCTTCCCATCTCCCACACTACCCCTCTCCCCCCCTCGCCAAAGTTGTAAAGTTCGTTTTTCATCATAACGACTTATAAATCTCATTATTGCAATGGGTCCACCTGTATCCCTATTTAAACGATTTGTTTTTTCCCTTCTCCTCCACAAATTCTACCAACATCAAATACAGTGAAAAGCGGGGGTTATACCTTGGAAGAGGGACATACAAAGCCACAAAGAAATCATCTTATACATATGTTAAAAACAATCACATGAAAGAAAAAAACATTTGAATACTTACCTTGGGGTTCATTTCACCTAACATCAACTTATCTG